TATTAAGACATTTCTGAAATCAGACGCTATGAGGGCTTTAGAGTCGGACACTTTTATTCAATCCAGGGACCGCGGTTCTGTTTATTTATCTTTCAGCCGCATTGGATCTGTTCTTTTCAAGTGTCCCAATAATCCATGACAGTAGGATGGTGAGCCAGAATGTACCAGGACCTGAAACTGAAGCAGCTAAATCATATTTAGTCGTCATTAAACGTAATATTTACGCCTGTGCTTTTCTGCTGCGTGTCGAAATCCTAGAAATGAACTACACCAAAACCTCCAAGCTAATAAATGTTGCATGTATGCTTACAAACATCCTCCTTTGTAAAGCTTTGTCTGGTTTTACATCCAAAGTGTTCCCCAAGTGATGCCAACTAGAGGACAAGGAATCCTTCATGTGTTAATTACAGCAGAATGGACCAACATGAGTGGAAACATGCGTGGCACAACGTCTCAGCGAGGGATACAGGTGGGAAAATACACTCGCCAAGCAAGTAATCTGCTTTATGTACTTGGAAGAGTAAATGGATTTTCGCAGATTTTCTTTTCAAATAAAGCGACGTTTATGACTCCCAAGAAGAAACGCGTTGGCAGCAACTTCTACCTCTCGCTGCCATCATTCTTGTGAGGACTGCGCGGCGTGTTAGGCATCAGAGAAATCTTTATTTTCCATGTTGAGTCTTGTATCTATACTTTTAAGTATGTTATGCCGGCTGTAAACAAATGGCTGTTTTTGGTCAAAATGGAAATACCTGCAGCAGAAATGATGTCATTCAGACCATGTATTTGTTCCCCTGAGGTAAAGAAACTCCCTCGACCCATCCCTTTGTCTCTCTCACACACTCACACACACTCACGGGTCTGTGGGTCACGGAGCAGCTAGACGGCTGAGCCATTTATCTGGGTCCCTGGGGAAACAATTACACCCCACCAGGCTGCAGAACTGGACAGGGGCTGGGAATTAACGATGGGCTCATGACTCAAGCTGAGGCGGAAACTTACAGTGAAAGGATGACGTCGCTGACCAAGAGCCCCGCTGGTTGTTGACACCATGGTGAATTACATTAATTGCTCCCAGGATCACTTCATTCCAGTTCTCTTGCAAAACAATACGCGTGGTATTCCAGCAGTAAAATTATTTATATATATATATATTCAGACACCACAGCTACTTGCTACTAGAGCTATTCAATTAAAGAACACATTTAGGCTACAAAACAAGGCGTATGAACATACATATCACACCACAGGGCCCTCGTGTCCAACTGTATATTCATTTTCTATCGACGACACTTTGTGGCATGTGTGTAAAACTAATTATGAATTATAAAACTGCCTTCTGCAGTATAGCCTTTACTCCACTGTATCTTTACAGCACATACAGCTTTTTTACAGCCGAATTTCCGTTCACTAACGCTAACCTGAACCCATAACGTCATAACTGGTATGATATTAAACTGCGACGCTTCTTCCTGTGATGCACTTTGCAATATTCATGAGATCCAACACAGCCGTCTCCTCTTTCTCCTCCCCGATTCTTCTGCGTTACTCTTTTCAATGCTTTGCTTATGAAGGCTGCGATACGCGTAAATAATAAAATAATTGGTCAACCATAACAAGTTCTGTCGGCTGACCATTTCAACAGAACTGCATCGCTAGGCAACAGCTTGGGTCCATGTTTACTTCCTTTCAGCCAATGTCGTTCACACACACACACACACACACACACACACACACACACACACACACACTGCAACAAGGAAATAAACTGGGACACATTTGGAGTGTGAAATAGTCGACAGTAATAATAATAAAAGTCCAAACTGATGTGAAATTGTGTGGTTTAAGCACATGATACTTTTCTGATAACGCCTCTGTACTGCAGGAATACATCATGTAACATTATAAGAAAGTTGTCACGCAGCAGATGTCTAAACTGTAAACTGTAAAGTTAAACAGTCTGTAAACACTGTCAACTCATTCACAGGCTACAAATGACACACTTGTACACACACAAGTTAGATACGGCGATTACTCCGTCTGTTTAGGTCTTTTATCCTGCACACACAAAGCACAGGAACAATAGTGTGTTCAGGTCATTATTTACGACAGGACACTGTGTGTGGAGATGTGGAGTCTTAACAATCCACAGTCACATGTACAGATGGTTTGCAGTGTCCTCTAACAACCTTAAGAGCTGCATCAGCACCCACTTTGAAAGGGTGTTAATAGGAGAGAATAGCCATCAGCGGGGTTATTTACACGTTCTTTCATCTCTAAATAATGAGGACATTTGATGTGTCCTATAATAAATATAATGGCGTGGTCGAGACATAACCACGCGCCTGATAGACGGTGATTCAGACCCATTGTTCAAATTTCCCATGTGCGCCGTGTTCTCCCTCGCTCTGTGAAAAAGCAGACCTCTTCCAGCTTTCCCCCTCATGCTTCAGCGTTAGAAGCTGCCACATCCCAGCCCCCACCTCCCCACAACCCCTCTAGCTGCCGCCTCCTCCTCCTCATCATCCCCCCCCACACACTCTCCCTCCCTCTCGTGGCCCGTTGCCATGGAAGCTGATTGGAAGGATCAGTCTGTCTCTCCAGCACATTGCCACTCCATCCTTGCCAGGAGAAAACAAGGCAATTCAGAGCAAAGCACCCCCCCCCCCCCCCCCCCCCCAAAAAAAAAAGCCCTTCCCGAACAGCAAGTGAAGGTCAGCTATTAGTTATTGACAATAACGATAAAACACACACAAATACCAAATTATTCAGTTTTCGTCATAGAGCTTTTTTTTCTTTTTGTGCAGTAACTTTTCGTTTCACTTCCTAATTTCTCAGTTTTCAACACCGCTGACTTCTAAAACCCCTAAAACCCCTAAAACCCCTGTAGTCATGTGTTGTATTGACATTTACCAAACACTTGATTCATGTGGTGGTGTTGACTTTGCCCTCATGGTCAAGGGCACTTTGCTCCACGCTCCAGTGGCTTTCACCCCGGCAGCTTCGGTACTTTTTAATTACCATTTCACTCATAAATGAAGCTCCTCCCTGCAGACAGACAGACAGACAGACAGAGAGATGTGTTTCAGACTCTTCTCTGATTAGCACAATAGGCCATAACAACTAGGTTTCTTATGAATATTTGTGTTGACTCCCATAAATGCAGCCATTACCAGAGCAGTGCGGTGTGATTTTAGTAGGTCACAAAGCCGGAAAACTAATTGAAGAACTCAGTCCGTGTTGTTTCCCCACTTCCTCTGTGCTGCGATCGAAAAGGAAAAAAGAAAATGTCTTCCTGACAGATGATTCACTTTAACGCACACACACACTCTGTGTGTGTGTGCGTGCGCACTAGACGATACACAAACTCAAGGCTAAGGCTCTCGGTAGCTTTATTTCTGATATTTTTCAGCCGAGCTCAACTATAATGGTTAGATGGAACATTCAGGGTCTAGCTATTGCTATAGCAACAATGTTTAGGGGCTCGTGGGTGGGGGTGGGGCGGTTGATCGCAGAATTTTGAACAACATTTATATTCAGAGTAATCTTCCAAAGCTCTATGTATAAAATAACAAGTGTTCCAGTTGTATAGTGACTGATTTAGATCTGGGTTTATTCGCATTAGGAGCAGTGGGCACTGCTGAACACCCATGTGCTTTTTTTTATGTAACCCCGTGTTTAACGCCACATTGCTATGAATTGTGGGTAAGTCCCTCAGGCAAAGTCTGCAGGAATGCGGACTTACGGAAAAGTGTCCGTAAAGGACTCAAAATGTCCGACAGTGGGACATCTATGCACCCCAACGTCCTCCGTCCTCCCACAGACTTTGATTAGACTTATTTGTGATGCGTCAAAAACTAATTTAATCCGGAAGAAACATTTCTTAGTAGAGCTGAGGCTGACCGGAACGTCATCCGTTTGTAAATCGAGTTAATTGACTGATCGATGGGTTAATGACGCTGCTGTTAAAGAACTCACAGCGCTCGTGTCGGCTGAATCTCTGTTGAACACAGTGTACACAGACACTTTGCAGTTGCACGTGTGCGTCTTTGAGCTGTGCATGTACGAACAGAGGCAGTGAGTCATCACGCATGGGCAACAAAATCTGCTTTTTCTCATTTTAGTCAATTGCACCTCTCATGCTGCCCCCCCCCAAAAAAAAGCTTAGGATTCAAACAGTTAGCATTCGGGTGGCAAATTGTGTTTTTTAATTGACGTCTGTCTGCATGCATGTCTGACCGGTTTGTCCCCACATGTGTGCCGTGTATGAAATGTCACACACCACCCACCAGCTTCACAACCATACAATCCTTGTAAAAATATCCATTCTGATGAAGTGACATGTTGGTAATCCGTTAAGAATGAAAATAAAGCTAACGTTAGCAGAGTAGCACAAAAAGTGCCATCTCATCGTTTGACTCTTGTAGAATTAATGGCGTTTGGTGAGGTTCAGCACATCTTAAATCATTTAAATCACGTGGGGGAAATTGTAAATTAATTTATTAAATTGATTTCAATGTCAATGTTTTCGTATACATAGTATATATTATGTATCATAGATGTACTGACAGACACCTAGGCAACACAACTATTGATTTAACTTGAGACAACAAAATGACTGATTTAGGTTTAGGTAAGGAAACTACTTGGTTTTTATCTTTCCATCCCTGCGATCAATTTAAATTTCAAATTAGCTTTTTGGAAACTAAAAGAAAAAAACGATATCCCCCTCAGATGATTATGTTGTAACTGTGGGAAATATTGCTTATATATTTGTGTCAATAATTCTACTGTGGACAAGAGGTGTTTCACACAGCAGAATCCACACTTTT